AAAATAAGTTAAAGTTTTTGTGGTAACCACTTCAAGGAAAAAAATTAAAAAAAAAAATAGTAAATAAGAGAGCCAACTCAGTCACCTTTCGTGTTCCCTAGCAAAACTATAATCTTTGCATTTTCTCATGTTTTAACATGAGTGGGTGATTGGGTTCGTTAATTAGCGGTTGACTAGATTCATTCTCTTTGGTTTAATCGCTCACTCCCTACCTAGTTCACATGTGTTTTTAGCAACTCGTGGCATTAGATCTTGGAAAGGGGCAAGCATACAAGATGTTCAATCGCTAATAAAACACTCAATCGTGAGCAACATGATGGTTGACCCGAATGGAGAAAAGGGGATCAAAGAGAGGGTGTGTGTGAGGGTTGGGAGCACTCCACCTTGTGCATGTAGGTGCTCACTATAGGCTTGCCAAGGAGTGGGCCCATCTACGGGAAGATATAAAACACTTGAAACACAACAAAATACATCAATAGATGACCAAGTCAACTCAATAATGATTTTTAATTTCTCGGGGATTGGTCAAGATAACTTGTTGTTTGTATTTACTTTTTGCCTGTAGCTTGTGGATGATGTGTTATTTTGATTCTATATCGTGTTGTTCTTAGTGTTCTAAGGACCAATATTTTTTTTATTTATAAATTTCCCTGGATAGGTGTAAAAACGTTTTGATATTCCAAAATAGGTGTTGTGGTTAATTCCTCCAACCCCAAGGGCCCAAAACCTTCCCTTGGGTTTTGATGGATGTTTTAGTGGGCTAAGCGAGTGAAATGGCACAAGTGTATAGCAAATGAGAGGGAGACACTAAGTGTGCCGAGTTCTAATTAATCAACAATGAACAATTACAGCACACCCTACTGACTAGCCGAGCCGAGCGTATCTCCCGAGTTATGAATATAGAGAATAAGAGCTATTGCTAGCAAATACAAGTTGCCAACCCCTAACTATGAAATAAATGCTACTTCCTCCGTTCTTAAATAAGTGCAACACTTTCCTTTTTAAGCAGTTTCATAATAAATGCAACCTTTCTATTTTGGGAAGGAAATACGAAGCAAAATGACATGTATACCCCTCATTGTTTACATCCCCTGGCTATTCGTTTTTTTGAAAATTTCTTCAATTGATTTCTTCACCCACCACCCACCCACTGATTCTATTCCTTTTTACCACCCACTCACTGATTTCATCTCGAACTGTCTTCATCGATTAAGCCATTTCTCCATTTCTTTCCCCATCATCTCAATCATTTATTTTTTGTTTTCTTTTTTTTCTGATTTGTATTTCAATTACGACCGAAATGGAAGACGTGGACGATGGATATGAAACAATTTTGCTCTGTTTACCCCCAGACTCGCCCGCGAGCTGAGAGACACGGCGGTAATGGTGGCCTCTAGGCAGCATCCGGTTGCGGCGGCGGTCGGATCATTGTCCATGTGGGATGAAGATTGGCGGAAACGGGTCATTGTCCATGTGGGAGGCGGCGGGCGGCTGTTTCACGCCGGGGTGAGGAGGAAGTCAGTTATCGGAGTTTAGGCGAGATTCGGTTCTTTCGATGAGCAGCTGGCTAGGCAGATTAAGGTGGAAGTACATCGGGGAAGTACTACAAAAGTGAACAGTACACTGGGCTTAGTGTTTTCTTTCTTGGCTGTAAAAACTTTATCCACTTTTGATTACTGTAGCACATGACTGTTCTATTGTACTTGGAGGGGGTAAAATCATGAAGTTCAACACCTTTACACATTGTCTTAATTTTCGAGCCCAAGTGCATGTTGCACTTATAACCGAACGGAGGAAGTACTATTTATACTACCATGGGGTAAGTGGTAGTGGTGATGTGGAGGATCATGTGTGGCTAAATTCACAACCACCAAATCTTGCATATATGGTGTACTTAATGAGTTTCCCCGCCAATATCTCACTTCCACGTCAAATGTCTTGGGCAATCATATCCAAAGGCTTCCTGATCCTAGATCCAAGTAAGCACAAGGGCTTGGATGTCGCTCGGGCCCTGCCGAGGATCTCCGCTGAGGCCCCCTAGTTGACTGTCTGGCTTAACTCGGCCAATGTACAAGCGACGAGCGTCATGTATAACAGATTAGGGTCGGATGTACATTGTGGATCGTTACTCTTGACCCCTTCTTTGTTATGAGGGTATTGGGCCGATCTTGTATTCGACCAATTACCCCAACAATAGGACTTTCATTTTTTATTCCCTAAATATGAGTAATTTCTGCCAACAATAACAAATCCTAGATCCAAGTAAGCACAAGGCCACAAGTTTAGTGGCGCACTTATTTAGAAATACATTTGGAATGCTTTTTAATGAATTTGTTTCAGTTCCAAACCAAACTTAAATAGGCCAAATAAGATCAGGCCGCATCAGACCAAAATTCGATAATTGTAAATATACATAGAATAGACATCTCCTAAACCAAGCCATACTTAAAGAGACAAGAGCAGACCAGACCAGATTAGACTAAAAAATTTCAGACCAATTTTAAAATATCATTAGAGGGTGTCTATAATAAAAAGGTATCAATGTTAGCTTAGTGATCAAAATATTATAGTTAATAATACATTTCACGATGCGAAAAATATTGGTGAGTTGTGTCATTCACCATATTGGTGGATTATATCATTCTACAAGATACTAGGAAACAACGTAAATAGACAAGTTCAAACTATTGTGACGAATATATATTGTCTGTTTTACATGAGTAAATTTTGGGACTTTGAAATAAAACTTATTTTTGCATGAATTTTAAAGCCATAAATATTTTTTATATGCTACCATTTCAAGTTCTAACACTAGTTAGAGTATATGTAAAGCGAGTAGGCTTCATGTCAGGCTGTCCTGACGGGAATCGTCGTCTAGCCGAGCCTATTTAGGGTCCTTCTCGGTGGATTTTTTTTGATGAATTTATTTAAACATGTTCTTCATCAAGTCTAGTTTACTCATACCAAAATTCAGCTAAAAAGTCAATCGGGAAGGCGGTCAAATGATTTTCTGAAAAATACTGCGATGTTTATATATATTAACTGCGCAATGTTCTTTTTTTTGGAAGCAGGTAGCTTATATTAATAAGAGAGAATGTAAGCAGGTTACAATCAGACAAAGAACCCTAAGTCTGCTGTCTGCCCTTGAACCAGACTCTGAATCTGCCACCTCGAATGAAGCAACCAGAATCGCTGATCCTGAATTGGGCTTACATGAGCCAATGACTAGCAAACTAAGTTCCTCATCACTTGTTCTAGGTTCAATAGTGTTAACAAAATTAAAAATAAAAACAAACAACAAGACTCGATGTCCAATGCACAAAACATAGAAATAAAAGTAGAGCTAAAAGTAACATCAAGTGTGAAAATCCACATGATCCCAAACTTCTTGGGTTTTGGCGGGTCTGGGTGCTCCAGCCCGCCTCTTCCCTGTTTTTTTATCCTTCCGGGACCATAGCATCATCTTCTGTTTGATCCAGCTCATGTTCCTGTGCTTCCCATGTCCGTCTTCTTTTCTGCTTCCCAGAACCTCCCCTCGGTTTTTGAATCATCCCCCGCCTCCTGATCCTGGACTCTTATACGGTTCTGCCCGCCCTAGTTATCGATGGCCTTTGTTTGCAATCCTGTGTAGTCTCTCCTTGTTCCTTTCTCTCCTACGAGCCATTTATTGCCTATAGGTGGACGAGCTCTTCCCACCCCGCTCTTAGCCACGACCCATATTGTTTCACAGCCACCAAATCATCCTTGTCATATAAAGACGAACAAAATTTTTCAGCGTGTCCGATGACTCTACATGCAAAGCAGAAGCTGGGAGTTTCTCATATTTGAAATCTACCCAATATTCCTCCCCCTTCCTCGTTTTCAATGTCGTACCTGCCTTCAGAGGTTTCTTCACATCCAGTATAACTCTAATCCTCATATAAGCTTCCCATTTATCATCAAATTGCTTATCATCCCAAGATACAAATTTCCCCAAATAGTCCCCGATTTTACGAGCATATCCCAAATTTGAAAAGCCATAAGGTATGTTATGAACCTGAACCCAAAATTCAGCCGTGTGTAGCGGTATTTTTTGAGGCAAATCACCCTGCTTAATAGCTTTTAGCACTAACAAGTTCTGGTCGAACAACCAGGGTCCATTATCCGGTACACGGTTCATATCAATTATGTGGTAAAAAGTGAAAAGATACCTTTTTCTCACCAATTTCCTGAATCAGCACACCTTTTCCAGGGCACCAGAGAGACGCCATCAGATCACGGAAAATTTGAAATTTCACCATTTTGTTTGTGAGAATTGTGCCGACCACCGGAAAAACCTCCGCCTCCTTGCTCGCCTCTTCGTGTTCGCCTTCGTCGTCCCCCTCATCATCCAGCAGCAGTTCATTCTCTGTGTTCTCCAACCCAAACCTCTATACTGATCGACTAACCTCTCCACACTCCTCTCGGCGGAAACTGCCGCAACTTCCTCCATCGTCGCTGAGTGTTCTCCCTCCTCACCATTGATCCCCTTCGCGGTCTGTTGCCTGGTGCTATCGCTCCCCTGGATTCTCGATCGATTGCTTGCGTACCATAGCGAAGTGGGCGAAGACATCGCGCCACTACTAAGCCGCACGTTTTCGGCGGAAACTCTCAAAACCCTACGAGAGGGAAACGTCCGCTTTTTCCGTATAACTGCGCAGTGTTCTTAAATAATTTATTTGACTTCCTTCCTGATTGAATTTCTAGCTGAAATACGGTATGCACAAATTATACTTGATTAAGAACATGCTCAAAACATTTCATCAAAATATTCCACCAGGAAGACCCTCAAAGGGGCTCGACCGGACGGCTATCCCGGTCAGCCCGGCCTGACATGAAGTTTCATCTATGTGAATCTACTCACCTTTTTACTATGAACTCTTGCTCTCCTTAATTTTAAAGGATGAATACTTTACATGGACCATAATTTTTTGGATTCATAAGTAGTCATTCTTAACAAAACAACTACAAAGATTCATATGTTCTCATTGAGTGACTCATCCCATATCTAAAAACCTCCCAAATCTGTGTATAATGTTGACAGGTTGCAACAATTGAATTTGGCACACTCCCCTTATATACACAGCATCTTCTGCACAAATCATAAAAGACTGTCCCCCTTCATTCCAACTCCCAAAAATTAATGTAAGAAGTTGCTCATATTTTCGAGTTCAACGGCTAAACCCTAAATTTACCCCTCTTTTCATTTCCACCCCTGATTATTGTTTCTTCTTCATTGGTTGGATAAAAGATAACCCAGAGGGGTCGGCAACATGCATAAGAAAGGTGGTGGCGGTGGATCTAAGGCGGCGGCAGAGATGAGCCACGCCGCTGATAGAAAGAAGTTGAATGTAGCTTTGGACAAGCGCTTGGATCGTTCGTCCCCGTCGACTTCTGCCACCGCCCCCACCAGAGTGTTCACCTCCAAGGATCCTCGGTTGTCGATGTATAAAACGGAGGAAAATCATCACAAGGCTTCTCGCTCAGCCGCACCGGACAACAACAACTCCGACGGTCTATCTTCCTCCACCGTCTCTTTGTATATGCGTGTATCTAATCTTACTTTCTTCGCCAATGTTTTCCAGTGTTGTTTGGTTAATTTTTTCTGGTTGTAATTTTGCATTCTGACAAAAATGTGTGTGTGTTTGTGTTTGTTTTTAGTAGAAATCAATGTATCCTTCGTTTGCATAGATTTGAATTTGCTGGACTGTCTGAACTCTCATTTGAAAAATTGAGTGCAGTTAGACAAGAGCTCGCTTTGGGACGTGTTTCAACTATGATGATCAAAGTTATGAAACAATAACTCTATTTTAGTGTTGCTCTGATTTACAGAAATATGTTTTAGGTTTCTAATTTCTTCGGCTGATATCACAGCTGTATTATGCATATTTAAAATTTTCAAGTAGCAGGCTACTCATCCGTACCTGCTCTGTTTCCAACACATCAAGTGAATTTTAAAATATTTAGCTACACTGAAGTGCGGCCTTTCTTAAGCAAACTTCGAGAATTTGCATGGTGGAGCCAGGTTAACTACTGATTAGCAATTGAATGTTTCTAGTCATAGGAATATGTTTGTTTTTGTATGGGAAATATGTTATTAAGAAATAAGAACCCCTTGCTGCCACATTCCAGGGAGTAAACATTGTTTTCCCTTGCTTGAAAAGCATTTCATGTGTTATATTTATGAACACTTAAGCCGACTTTCTTTTCTTTGGTATAATATTACCTTGATGGTACATTTTATTTTCTGCATAAATAATTTTATTGATGAAACTAGTAGTTGCATGTGGTTCTAGATATCTGCTCATTGCCTCATTTGTTTTGTATTTAGTGTAGTTTCTCCAAGCCTCCTAAACTAATAAAGGAGGTCTATAAGTGAGTTCTTATATTATTGATTGATATATACATAAACCTATTAAGAGAATCAATTCGGTTTTATGCCTGGTCGCTCAACAACTGAGCCTATTCACCTTCTTCGTCAACTTATGGAGAAGTATAGAGATGCTCATAAGGATCTGCATTTGGTGTTCGTTGACTTAGAAAAGGCATATGATAGGGTACCTCGAGAAGTTCTTTGGTGGGCCTTAACTAGGAAAGGCATATCACGCAAGTATATCAGCATCATCATGGATATGTATGAGGATTGTACTACAAGTGTTCGTACTAGTGTAGGGAGGACTGAAGAGTTCCCTATTACTATCGGAGTGCACCAAGGATCGGCCTTGAGTCCTTTCTTATTTGCCATAGTCATGGATGAACTTACGAAGTCAATTCAAGACGATATACCGTGGTGCATGATGTTTGCCGACGATATTGTATTGATTGATGAGACACAATCAGGTCTTAAAGCAAAGTTGGAAGTATGGCGACAAACATTGGAGAATAAGGGTTTCAAACTAAGTCGGAGCAAGACAAAGTACATGGAGTGCAAGTTTGGTGGAGGTAGAAGTAGTGGTAATAACGGAATTACTCTGGATGGTAAGGAGATACCAGTCAGCGATATGTTCCGTTACTTGGGCTCCATAATTCAGAAGGACGGTGAGTTAGATGGAGATGTATCCCATAGAATCAGAACAGGGTGGATGAAGTGGAAGAGTGCGTCAGGATTTCTATGCGACCGAGGTATGCCGACTAGATTGAAGGGTAAATTTTATAGGACAACAATTAGGCCTGCATTACTGTATGGCGTAGAGTGTTGGGCGGTGAAACAATGTCACATTCAAAAGATGAGTGTGGGTGAGATGCGCATGCTGCGCTAGATGTGTGGGCATACTAGGAAGGACCGCATGAGGAATGAGACAATCAGACAAAGGGTGGGAGTAGCACCTATTGAAGACAAGATGCGGGAGTCGCGCCTACGGTGGTTTGGTCATGTGCGTAGAAGACCGAGTGATGCACCTGTTAGGCGATTTGAGATGTGTGGAGAAGAGGCAGGGAAGAGAGGGAGAGGAAGACCCAAACAGACGTGGGTTAGGGGAGTTCGAAGTGATATGCTTCTTCTGGGGTTGGATGAGGGCATGACTTTAGAGAGAACTAAGTGGAGGGCGGGTATTCACGTGAAGGAGTGATCTTGTTAATCTTTTTCCCTCATCTTTTTTTTCCTAGTTTTTTTTATCCTTATATATATATATATATATATATATGCATTATTTGCAGCCTTTTTATTTTATCATTTTTATATATATTCATCTTTTTTATATTATCTTTTCATAATAGCTTATCTTTTTATCTTTATTCCTTCTTTTCCTTTTGGTTGTGATATCATGTATCGATTCATGTTAGCCGACCCCAATATCATTTGGGACTAAGGCTTGGATGTTGTTTGTTTGTTTGTTTGTTTATATACATAAACCTATTAAGTCCCGTGTCATATCCAAATATAATTGTCAAGGAGGCTACAAAATACTTCAATATCTGTATTTTCTTCTAAAATACAAAAATTGTTTATTCAAATAAAATATATATGGTAGTGTTCTAAATCTAGGTGACATGCATGTATACATTTAAGTAAATTGCATGTAAAATAATGATTTGTCAAACTTTAGGGGAGCCAATGCCCCCTTGCCACTATGTAGCTCTATCAGTGGTTCTTGTTGAATAGAGGATGCTAGGGTTGAAAAGTTTATGAAAGGTCAAACCCTAACAGTCAATTTGATGAATAGTGAACCTTGAAATCCATAAGAGAGATGGGATTTTCTAATTTTTAACTAATGACAAAGATGTATGGGGAAATATATCCAGTTCAGTCATCTAATGTGGCATTTTAAATTGCTACCCAGTAAATTGTATGTCCTACCTTGTGGTTGTATAAGTGTATTCAAGAGCGTATTCATGTATGGAGAAATGATTTCTGCATTATGAGCACTTGGCTAAATATGTTCCAGGTTGTTTAAACATTGGCTGTTTCTTTTCTTTGACAGTTGAATCTGAAACAGACAGCGAGGGATCAGATGTTAGTGGTTCTGATGGTGAAGATACTTCATGGATTTCATGGTATTGCAATCTACGTGGGAACGAGTTCTTCTGTGAAGTCGATGATGACTACATCCAGGATGACTTTAACCTCTATGGTCTTAGCAGCCTAGTCCCGTACTATGATTATGCACTTGATCTGATTTTGGATATTGAATCTTCTCACGGTTGGTTTACTTTAATTCTCTTAATAGAAACTTAGCGATAAACATGTATACTTTTGTGCTTTATGATGTGCAATGACCTGATTTATCTTTTGAGATGTTTTAGCTTTCTGATGAGATTTATTTTCACCTGCCTTGGTCTTTTTTCACTTATGCACTTGAAAGAAAACTGTGCCTTGAGAGGAAGACTTTGTCCAATGAGCTCTGGTGACCAAACTTCATAATCATGTTTCATATATGATTGATCGGATTTGTATTTTCATGATTGACTCATTAGCGTACCATGAGACATATTTTACTGATGAGTTAATATTCAGTGTCTAGGTTTCCTTTGTGACATGCATTTAATTTGCAGTTAAGGCATATTCTCCCCATATCAACAGCTTAATTTCAAAGAAACTAGGATTCTAGAGCCAACATATCTTACACATTTAAGCAATGTCTAGCCTTCCGCAGCTGCTATAGTTCACACTGCACAAAAATGGTCTAGCAATGTATTCCATCGCCCCATAATTTTCTACTGAGAATTATCAATTATGTACGAATGAAGTAAAGAATGTCAACCACATAAGCCATTCTTTCAAAGGAAACCAGGGAAGTTGAGTGACAATCCGAAAAAGAAAACAATGCATTTATGGGAGGGAGGGAGTAATTTACTAGTTTCAGATATTTTTCTCTGATGTTCCAACACCAACTCCAGTTTAACTTCAGTTATGCAGGATTTATAATAACCCACAAACTTGTCATAATCTAACACTGTGAACTTTAACTCGAGTGTTTGTAGAATTGTAGATTGTAATTTTTATTTCCTGATTGTGATCCTTTAAGGCTATGAGAATGTGATTGATTGCAGTGGTATGTAGGTGATATGTTTACGGAAGAGCAGAATGAAATCGTTGAGTCAGCAGCTGAGATGCTTTATGGTTTAATACATGTCCGCTACATACTGACAACCAAAGGAATTGCTGCGATGGTGAGATTGAATCTTCCTTCATGGTAGAAATTCATGATGTCACGTCTTTTACAGTATGGGGAACTGTCAATGCATTTTTGCAGCAGGAGAAGTACAAGAATGCTGAATTTGGTAGATGCCCAAGAGTTCACTGCTGTGGTCAACCATGCCTCCCTGTTGGCCAGTCAGACATTCCCCGACAGAGCACAGTAAAAATTTATTGTCCAAAGTGTGAAGAAATATACACTCCTCGTTCTCGATATCAAGACGGTATCCTTTTTCATTTTCTTGAGATACAAATCAACAAATCATGCCTTTTCTCATTTTTCTTTTTCACCCTCTAATTCCCTTTGCATGGGCAGGTGACTGTTGAATTAATTGCTATTCAATTTCAAGTGAATTAACATTGCATAGTTTAACAATCTCGCTCTGAAGGAGTTATTTTTCCAAGAGTTTGTCTTGTGCTGTTAGAACCTGGAAAATTTGGGAACAACGGAAAGAAACATAGGAAAGTTAGAAGGAAAGTAAATGTGGGTTGGGGGGATAAATAAAAGATAGGATAAACTAATATGATTTTTTATGTGTTTTGACACTAATTTGATTAAATTATGACTATTTTATACGTAGTATAGTATAAACTAAGAATTTTATATTTTTGTATTTTTTTGGGAAAAACTAATCACTTTTAGTTTTTCATTTTCGTTTGCAAGGTAAATCAAGCATGAGAAAAGAGCACATTCATTTTCTTCCTTTACGTAGCATTTTCCATGATCCCAAGAGTCCAATCATGTTCACTATTCTAAAAACCGGCAACTAGACAGTAGACGGGCTAGATGGGGCAAAGTTAGGCAGGCAAGATAAATTTGGGCTGAAATAGCAAAAAATTGGAAACGGCAAAGAGTAGCTTAATGCCTATGCGGATTAGGCAGGGATTATTAGAACCACAAAGCGGCTCTTCTTTTAGATACCATCCTATCCAACATGATATTAGAAATTTGTTGCATGAACTGCTGACTCTAACTTACAAATGAAGACTTGCATCCAAGGCCTGATTATTTTTCTTTTGTTTCCTTTATTTACTCTGTATATGAAGGTATTGATGGTGCATATTTTGGAACAACATTTCCGCACCTTTTCCTAATGAGTCACGGACACCTGAAGCCACAGAAATCTTCTCAGAGCTATGTTCCTCGAGTATTTGGTTTCAAGGTCCACAAGTCATGAATTGGGTTGGTTTTTGCATGATAGCCTCATTTTTCCTCGAGAGGATTTGAAGCGTTTTGGAAATAGGCCTGGGCTATGTATGTTGTGTTATACTATGCTGTACCCCCTGTGCTTGAATGTCATTTTTCCTTCATTAATATTTCCTTTCCTTTCTGTGTGAGTGATCTTATTATTCTTCATCGTGCCTGCCTGAACATGTGTATGTATTCGATTAAATATCTGATAATATTGATGTGAAAACTAGTAGTACCTTTTAACAAAAACCATGGAGACGAGGCACTGGAGTAACTTCCATGTTTGACGGTTTGACCTCTGTTCTGCACTTCTGCATATTTGTTTTGCTTTCTTTTTTCTGCGGAAGATTTCTGGTCCAACATAACAGCATATCAAATACGCCAAATGATACTTTTGTATGGTCACATGGTATTCAGTATTCTCTTGGTCCGTAAATTATCTTCCAAAGTACACTTGACTTGGTAGTGATATTGTATGGCTGAGAGCCTGAGAGTTGTGCAAAGGAAAAATGGTGAGCGAGTAAATAATCTTCAATTCTTTATCAAAAAGTGAAATTGGAGATTTATTTGGGATTGACTAGAAAGAAATTTTGAAAGATAATTCAGCGACCGAGGGAGTATAATTCAGAGATATTACCCTAGGATTAAAACAGTTAGAAAATTCCAAAATAGAATTGTCATATTTCTATTCTCTCAAAATAGGATTGTCATATTTTTATTCCCAAAATACGATTATTACTGCCATGTTTTGGCAATACCAGACTTCAAACAAGTCAGTATTTTCTAAATATGACAGTAATTAGTCCTATTTTGGAAATAAAAAAATGACAATCCTATTTTGGAATTTTGAATTTGTTTTAGTGCTATTTCGGGAACTTTCCCTATAATTTATCAAAACATTAACTTCTTGTTTTTAGCATGTTCAGTTTAGTAGGTTATTGTACTTATCTTGGTGAATATTTGTTATTTAAATGTATATCATGTCACATGTGCCACATGCCATAGATTTTATGTTGCCACGACTATCTAATGGAAGATAATTTTATGTACAGATTACAAATGAGTCAAATATTGTGATATTGGTCAAATGTCGTATGTGCAGATTCCAATGAGTCGAATCAGAGACTCCATAGTTAGAGATGGATTATTGGTCATATTGTCTTTATCCCTTTTCAGTTAGTCATTTTTAATTTTTTTAGTCAACGATGATAAAACTTTGTTTGATCACCGTAACTAGTATACTTCTACGAAGTTTATAAATTTTATGCTTTTGTAATATTCTACTTGTAACAATGAACATTTTTTATATTACTACATCGGTCCCAAAACGTTCAGTCAAATCTTAAAATTTGGATCATGATTTTGATTACTATAATACAATGAAAGTTATAAATTTACACTTTTATGAAAGTACTTTTAACTAAGAATATTTTCATATCATTTTTATATTATAGATAATTTCTATTGAATATATATTATTGATCAAAGTTTTGGAATTGGCTAATTATTTTGGAAAGTAAAAAATGACTAGCTAAAAAGAGACACGGAGTACTATATTGTGCTTTGATTAGACTCTAATATAGAGTTTGGATTTGTTATTTCTTATAAAATTTCCTATAAAATATTTTAGTCGTATTGAATCTTTTATTTTAGTTCAGTTCTATTCAATTTATACGTTGTGAAGAAATATTATCAAATTCAAAATGAGTTGCATATTGTTATACGTGGTTTAACTTAATTTACTTTGGATAAAGGAAGTGATGGACTCGGGCCGGGTGGCCCGACCCGGAACCGGCCCAGGACCGGTACTGTTCCGGCCCGGTCCAGGCCTAGACCGACCCGGCCCCGACCCGGCCCCGACCCGGGCCTAGACACGACCCAGACCCGGCCCCGAGTCCATCCCTAGATAAAGGCAAATTGAACCACAATGCTCACCCGTAACAAATAGTCATCTTCCTAGGTAACACCGTAACAGAGCTAGCCTAATATTGGAAGCAGATCGAAAATATCAGGATCCATAATCCATATACAATTATGAGAAAATAAGTTAGAATTTATTGAACACAGACAAAACTGTAACTAGGTGCGACTTCGCAACTACATTAGAGAAAAGGTGCAAATTCTAATACTTTTAACTTTTTAAGCAATGGAGCTTAAAGAAGGTGCACCGATTTTACTTTTACTAGTACTTGAATTTAGGATAATCGTAAAAAATGAATGACAAAGATCAGAAAGTCCAATATTGAGATAGCTTGTAAATCGTAATAGGTGATCTTATAAGCTGTTTGCATATTCATGTGTCGGGCCAATATTGGACTTGGGTCGGGCCACCCGGCCCATGGACCGGCCCGGCCCGCTACTGTGCGGGACCGGGACCAGTCCGGTTCTCGGGTCCGGGTCGGGCCTAGGCCCGGGGGTAGGGCGGGTCCGGACTCGGGTCTCAATTTTGGTGAACCGGCCCGGGCCAAATTGAAATTTTTTTTTTTTTTCATTTTTGGGGTTCCACCCAGGTTGGGCTTGATGGGTAGGATGGGTTTGGGGGGGGTTTGGGAGGGTGGGGGGTGAGGGGGGGGGGGGGGTAGGAAAGCAAAAAAAAAAAATCCAAACCGGAGGCCCGGCCCGGACCCGGTGGCTACCCGGGCCGGTCCCGAGTCCACCATTCTTGAACCACCGGCCCGGCCCGGACCCGGCCCGGACCCGAGTCCACCCCTATTCATGTGTGTCCATGTTCATTGCGTGTGTTTGAGTGGGGTGGGGGTGGGGGCTGATCAGATCACATGGATGGTTGTTGACCGTTCGTTAAATCTAACAGCTTTGATCTAGTTTGGATGGCCGGACCAAAAGTACACCCATGAAAGCTTAAAGCAAAGAAATGAGTCATAACACTCATATAACCATTAAAAATCAACTGAAAACAGACAACAGTGTAATCACAAAAGATGCTAGTAAAATTAAGAAAGAAATGGATTGTCTAATACTGAGTATCAAAACTTAGACAAGAATCTTTATCAAGTTAAAAACCAGGCAGGTCTCAAGACTCTCAACTCTCAGTTTGCTCCCTAAGTCTTCTGATTGTGCTTCGGACCGTCACAGCACTAGCGGTGCTATTGCAAAAAAAAAAGGAAAATCAATTAGGTCCTTGCAAACTTGAATGGGTATAAATACCAAGAAGTTTACAAATTAAAACTTACTTCAAGGTATATGCCCCGCCTGCCTTGACTTTGCCACAATCTTTGCAGCCCCATATACCGACTGCCTTTCTCTTCACTGCATACTGCACACCCATAACAAGGATTGAGGCAGCATATTTACGTACGTGTGTGCACTTGTATAAGAGGTTTAAACAGATAATGGGAAGAACGGACCGTAGCCCTAAAAATGGTGAAATGTGGAAAACATATTGACAATAGGATGTACCTTGCCACAAAACTCACAGAAGAACTTACTGTGCTGGCTAACCTCCATCTTTTTAATTTGTTTACGGAGACTAGCACCATACCGGGTGCCTGCACAGAGATGGCAAGATTGTTAGAGGAACTCAACATGCTATATTTTCAAGGTTGAAATTAAAGAATGCACACAAGCTCGTGAAATACGAAATGTAGTAAAATACTTGAACTTACCATACTTTCCGACTATACCAGCTTTCTTTGTCCTCTTAGTCTGCACCAATGATAAAGCATGGTGTCAAGCATATGCATGAACTAGGAGTAAACAAAAAAGCCACTAAACCCAAACAAGCCAATGAAAATCAACATCACTTGCGTGATTTGGTCTTCATTTTAAGATTTAGGCTATGAGAGCCAACCAAACGGACTAAAACAAACTTAATCTGTCCAATTCAGAGTGTGGCATTATAAGAAAACAAACTGACCATGCCAAAACCAGCCAAAACATAAACATGAATACCTTTAGATGATAGAAAACAAACATTACATAAGGTTGCATGATGATCATAATGTTCTAGGAAACATCCTATGATGGCAACTAAGCTCTTCTTCCGCAGTGGATGAAGGACCCTTTAGTTAAAGATACTAAAACACAACTTACTACCCCTAACTCCATAAGGGGAAATAAAAATGAAAATCTAGATCAGCCTTAGCTCCTATTAAGTGAATTGTAGGATTAAATCCTCGATAAACTTCATAGTAGTTGCATAAAAGTATCATGCTTACATTACATTTAAGCCGATTTATGATTGTAATTCATATACTGCAATACACTTTAGACAACTCACAATCCATAATTAAAAAGGTCATATAATTCATAGCACATGATCGTGAGCATTCCCCGAAGGGGAAATTGAAAGCGAGTCTTCTTTTCAAGACCTGTTTTTTTGACCCGCCTTTGAGAAATAACATTTCTAGAGCAAAGGTTTTGACAGACACTGAGACACACATACACAAAAGGAACATCTACTACAGCAGACAAACCCACAGCCACGTACAAAGATCTATCAAAGACCGTGTGAATTGTAGAATTAGAATGTCGACGATCGATTATCACCTAAACAGTTCACATTGCATACACAGCAATAAAATTGATCATATATATGCATATAAACGCCTTTATGGAAGCAGGGAGAAAGAGAGAGATACCATTTTAGCTGATCGGCAGTGGAGGCTCTGCACGGATGAAAGATCAGAGTTGAGGAAACGCTGGAAGTGAAGCCCTAGAAAATGAATTAATTAAGAGTTTAAGACCGTGTTTTTATACAGGCCCGGTAAATTTTCTTTGTACTTTTGTACTCCAACTATTGGTCTAGTAATACTAAGAAACTTTATCAAAATTGACCGTTATGGAGAATAATAAAATAAAAACTGTGTGTTTAAAATTTGTGTAGAAGAGAGAGAAATAACAGAAATCACAAAATAATTGATAAAAAGGGAAAGTGTCAAAGTTTTTTGGAACATCCAAAAAAAAAAGATGACAAAGTTTTAAAGGATGGAGGGGGTATATTCCAATTTACTAAAAATATGTTGGGTTTCTCTTATACGTAATACAACTTTTTATACACATTTTTATAAACAGATAGTTTTTAAAAGTTATTCATTTTGTAAATGAATTGTTTGTATGCACAAGTAAATAAATTTTTTGTGTAAATAAGATTTTTGTGTGTACAAAGTAGGTGATAGATAAATTTGCTAAAAACTTTCAAGGGAAAATCGCACTCTTAATCCCTGAAATAGTCACCATATTGGAATGTCAGACTCATATTTCCGAGATTGTAAATATCATTCCTGAATTATTCAAATTGTTCTAAATGTGATCATTTGAGAGGTGAAATGTATCCTCGCTCACTTTGTACATTTCACCGATAAAAGACTCATTTACATCAATTTGAACAATTGAGGGGTGACATTTACAAACTTGAAAATACAAGTCTGATATTTTAATATATATATAGGGATATTTCAGGGACTAAAAATGTGTTTTCGCCTACTTTAAAGTTTAAGATAATAAACAACATAGGGAAAAAGTTATGATTACAATTTACAAACATCTTTAAAAATAGTGAAATAGTCGAAGCGGTATACTGGGCCAGGCCTGTATAAGGATTTTTTAAATAAATTTACATAAACTTTTTTTCCCAAATAATTTAAACAATATTGAAATTGGGAGTGAGTGAGGTCCTAGAATAGCTCCCTAGCTACTGCCCATATTTATTGATCCAAAAGGGTGGAATCTCCCCCACTAAGAACTCTCACCCCGACAGGATGGTGGGAAGGTTAGTCAAGGCGACTCAGTCTGCAGAGTGGCAGTAGGTCCATACAGCCGTGTGCACCAGAGACCCAACATTATTTCAGGTTTTGTGACATTCACTTGACCGTTGCGGGGAAGTACTGCCCTTATTTATAAAGATGTCCAACTCAACGTTCTTTGACTTGCTTATACTCGTCATGAAGACCATTTTTATTAATTTACTCATTATTAGATTAATTTGAACTCGGCCTTGTCAATAAATCTAATTTTACACCAAGTTAAACATATTCACTCAGATAATTCAGCTTTTTACTGCAATCCAGCACTTGTATATCTATTCACCCAACAAATATTTAAAGTTAAAATCATACTTTTATTATTATACATCAAATTTGTTTATATCTTTTTTTGCAAATAACTATAATTTAAAAAGTCAAACTGATACAAAAATACGCAAATTTGGGGTTTAATTTTTTTAATGTCACTTCAGACCTATTTCAGGAAAAAATTAACTGAACGATGTAAGAAAATATTTTAATCATGAGATCTTAACTTTTTAGCATTTGAATTTATCATATGATACAAAAAAATTGAGTCTGAAAACCTTCAGGAGCTAAAACTTCCTATTTTTTATTTACTTTATATATATAATATTGATATCATATGAAAAAATCATAAAAAATTATGAATTTTAATGCATTTTTTGTAGAAATGGGAGTATAGATAAAAAGTTATTACACTTTTTAAGAAAATGAGATTTTAACTTATACATGGGGCGACTGCTTATTCATTCATATGACCAACGAGATGCTCACTCTCTCCCTCTATTGAATAACCTATCCGTAACACTTGAGATTAATTTAAAACAATTAATAGTACAATTCATAACAACAAGGTATATCTCCTTTTTAGGGGGCTCACCAGCTAAGAACTCCAATGCTAAGTGTGCTTGCACGGGGGTAAAGGTTCGTGGCAGTTTGCGAGGACACTACTAAATGTCTGGAGTAACTACATCGGGTCTTGCGCGACTGCGGTGTTACAATATCTAATTTGCCCCTAGGTGCCCCAACACACTTTGGCATCCTTATATATATACTCCGTATATATATTTGGTTGATGTGATTTTTGGGTTGAAGAACTTAAATAAGGCTTATTCATCCTTGGGGTGCGGTTAGCCTTGGGTGAAAACGAGTCAAGTCACTCGTGAATGACTTGAGAGCTGCTCAATTAAAACTCGACTCGAGCAGAACTCAATGCGACTCATCAAGCAATCGAGTCAAGCCCTAAATACGTCTTTTATGTAACACTTCACGCCTCAAACGAATAATCTTCTCATACAATCGAACTAACCGACAATGTCGTATGGTCAAGCCCGTTTGAGGTGCTTCCGGTGATCTTTTTTCATAAAATATTGTAAACATGTTCTTCATGAAGTTTAGATTATCTCCATAAAATTTGAGTCTAAAATTTAATCCGAATGTGAGTTAAACAAATTATTGAAAAAAACTACGTTTTTTATGCGTATTTTTGTGTAGGGATCTTCAATAATTTAGTTAACTGACTTCCCGATTGAATTGTAATTTGAAATTTTATATAGGTAATCTAGAACTCATGAAAAACATGTTCACCAAATTTTATACAAAAAAATTATTAAAAAAATCAAATTTTATGGGCTTGGTCGTACTGCACTTCCGGTCCGTCCTGTTGAATGAGAAATTACTCTACTGGAACAACATTCTTCTCCACCTCTCAACATTCTCTAAACATTCTCTTCTTCGTCCCTGGAACAACTTATGAGTTGTAAATTATAATGATGAGTCATTATTATGACATAATGAGCGGTTAACCGCAATTTCTTTATTTTTTGGAGAAATGCAAAAATATCTAAATAAGAAAATTTAGATGCAAAATCATGAGGCCATGGATTTGGTCTCCGTTCTCAGCTTTCTATGCAATAACGGATTAATCCACCGGCTCACAAACGTCATTTTCCGGTGGTTGATCGGAAAATCACCCTTTTAGTTTTCTTCTTTCCAATCCAATCGATAAATTTTCTCAACATCATCTTAGTCGGAACAATCCACAGGGGTAAAACTTGAGCTTTGAGCAATGGCTTCGCTATCGGCAATAAGCGTAGAGTTGGCAGAAATTGAGGGGCAGATTTCGGATAAATTTCGAGCTCTCTCGTAAATAAGTTTGCGTTTTATTTTGTATTTTGTAATATGCATGCTCAAATGGTATTCAGGAATTTGACAAAAGTCGTTTCCATATAAAATTATAAATGCTAAATTTGCAACTTATTTAAAATATCTATTCAAAGATTTATTTTTATAGTTCTTGTAATACAGGAATGGGTTTCAGAAGTTGGAGAAGATCAAGGACACCAATAGGCAGAGCAGGCAACTGGAGGACCTGACTAATAATATGCGAGAATGTAAAAGGTACTTCCATTCATTGCAAACTCTGGCAACGATGTTTCCAAGTAACTTGCCTATTTGAAATAGTTAAGATTTTTTTTTGTATGGAGTATTTCAAAACTTTGAATTTATCTTAATGTCAATCCTTGATCCTTCCCATTATATCTGTCCATTTACTGTTGAATGTGTATGGCTCAAAGTCTCAAACCATTCATTCTTCTCTTCATTTACTGTATTTACAAATTTCTTATATTTTTAAATTTTCATTTGTATGTTTAATATTCTCTCATTATAAGGCACAATTGATCAAATTACAGGACCCAATGGAAGTAGGTATTATTTTTAAATTCATTAAAAATTACTCCGTATGATATTTCACTCTACCTTCTTTTACTACGACTCTAAATAAATACTCCGTACTTTTAAACGGTAAACATGAACATGTTATTATCAATAGAAAAGGCACAATTTGTCACGCCCCGGACCTAGCCGGACACGTCAACAACCCGCCGCACAGTACGAATAGTCAACCGCAGTCCAACTCATCCATACCATACAAGGCGTCATGAATATCATTCACACATAGTACATCCATAAACAAACATAATGTAAATCATTCATTTAAAACAGCGGAAACAACATTACAAGTGTACGAGCCACACTTGGCAAACATGGGTATACAAACCCCCGAAATGTATATTCAGAAAATAATATCCATGAGCATTATTCATATTGTTTTCAAAACAAGAACGGAAGAAGCACGAACCAAGTCTTCTTCTCAGAAACTTCCCGAAACAGCGGCTGATGGTAGCAACCTTCAAGTTCTACCTGAAACTGTGAGGTGGCCTCCCCCGTGAAGGGGAGGTCAGTACTTGGAAGCATTTGACAAGTACAATGACAACTATACTAAGTATAATCGAAGTTTAAATCTCTGAGGCCCTCAATCTAGAGCATTATTACATTATAGTTAATCCGTTCATTTAGTATCAATTCATCATTATTTACTACGGTCTAGAGCCCAGCTCATAATCACCGTTATCTACTACGGTCTAGAGCCCCGCTCATAATCACCGTCATCTACCACGATCTAGAGCCCAGCTCATAATCACCGTCATCTACTACGGTCTAGAGCCCAGCTCATAATCACCGTCATCTACTACGTTCTAGAGCCCAGCTCATAATCACCGTTATCTACATCGGTCCCGAGCCCGGCTCATAATCACCGATTCTTTATAATTCACATTTTTAGGATCTAATTCATCCATTTCTCAACTAACATTCCCAACTAATATTTCAATGCTAGTTATTCATTTATTTCAATATAATTCTTCCTTCATGCATGTTTGGCCTTAATATCAAGTATCACTTTCATACCTTCATGGCTTCTTCTCATGGTATCAAAGTATACTATCTCAAATGAAATTCATGGTTGGTACAGCCATCATACACACATATTCATAACATCTAAACATACACAATTTATTCATAAATTTGTGTATCATGCATACTATACTTATAATCAATAGTAATTTTATTTAGGCATTATTAACCATTAACAACCCATGCTCATCACATTTGCATTCACTTAGGAAATCCCATGAAATTAACCCCAAGATTATAAGCAACATAGTCGGTCATCCTCACCTTAATTAAGCTTAAGCGCGTTCTACGCTTCTCGATTGAACTTTGACTAGTTTCGGCGAACTTTGACCAACTCCGGCGAACTTTGACCAACTCCGGCGAACTTTGACCAACTCCGGCGAACTTTGACCAACTCCGACGAAACTCCGGCGAAGCTCAAAAAAACTTTAAATCAAGTTCCTAACAAGGTTTTATCATCATAAAACCCATATCAACACAAATAACCTATAAAAGGTTATTTTCCGGCAAACCGGTCGATTTGGCTTCTAAGTCCGTTCTTGGACATAGAACCACTTTCCAACCCATGAATCCATACTTAGAACATGGAGAACCATCCCAAGGGTTCTTCATATAATAAATACTCCTCATGGTAGAAGAAAAATAAAGGGAAAGCTATGGCAAGGTGATTACCTCAATTTCTACACTTTCCTACACCTTTTTCCTTCTCCAAGCACTCATCCTTGGATCCTCTATCTTGAGCTCGAATTTGGGTGTGAAAATGGTGAATTTCAGAGCTCCTCCTTGCTATCTTAGGGTGTTGGTACGAGTGGGTGGAGGTGGTGAGGTGAAAGGGGTGGTTTTTGTCTCATTTAGACAAATGAGTGAAAGGAGGGGGTCTACCAAATGTCAAAGGGTGTCTCCCCCATCCTATCAATTGTTATTCAGCCAACTTAGCCCTCATCCAGCCCCCAAAGGTTGACAAATTCGTGGGATGGCCCCCACCCATGTGGGAGGTCATCCTAATTTGTCCCAAAGTGTACAATTTGCCCCGAAAGTTGTATTTTCCGGACTGTTTTAGATATGTTTTATTTTATCGGGTTAAATAAATATATTACTTGTTCTTAATCATTATAACATTTAGAATGAATATGCATTCCCCAACTTTAATTTATAAATCTCCAAAATCCACTTTCGGGCTTTTATCTGATAAATTTATCGATACTGGTATTTGGGCCTCTATTGACCGATCGGTCAACTCTGGGTCTTTCCATGGCCCAAATGAAGTATCCACCATCTATAAATATTTTCTAGACCCAGATGAATATGATATGTGGTCCCGATAATATCGGGCGGTCCCCACTCCCGATGTGGGCCCCACGTGCATTTTACTATTCACGCGGAAAAAATTAATACGGATTCACAACCTCGTAAATTCACTAAAAATTTCATAGGGTTCAATGAATTATTCGCTTAAAGATAAATACATTTGGGGACGGTGTTACACAATTAATGTTTCATAGAAAAATGAATGCCTTATAAAAAGGCTTCTGTTAAAAGGTGTATGTTTAAAATATTAAATAAAGTAAGATTTAAGTCAAATAAAAATATAATTACTTATTTCCTACATCATTGCATGAGAGTCAGATTGTAGGGGTTCGTAAATGAAACAGGAATAAAGAAGTTTAGGGGTTCATTGTAAATGAGTTCAACGCTATATATTTGCATGTCCCTAATACTATAGGAGTAGTATGTTGTGATTAAGTAGTTTGTTACTATGTTGTACTGCAATTTGAGTTTTACGCTTTCTAAGAGGCACTTGCAACCAGCATTACTTTTTGACGTAGCATAGTGCAAATAAACACTTCTGAAATTTTGATTGATAGTGAGTGACAACTCAATGGGATCTTTATTATCTTCTTAGATATGTTTAGTTCCAATGGGTCATTCAAGAACCATGTATTTGAGTTTGTATAAGGTCTTGGATAGTTGATGGATAGAACAATTGCATTATGTATTGGCCTGTTATACTCTGTTTTATGTGTGTTCATGCACTGTAATACATAACCCATTTTGCACTAACGGTGTTTTACCTTGACAGGCTTATTAAAGACTTTGATACAGAAGTAAAGGATTTAAAGTTTCAGAATGATGCCAAGACAAACAAGATTCTGAATGAGAAAAAGCAAGATATGGTGTGCAGACATTTCAAAATGTTTAGTTTGACTTAGTAGCCCCAATTTGTCTTTTCCTCCACCCCAAACTGATCTCCATATATGCAGATCAAAGAGCTGAACTCATATGTTGCTATGAAAAAAAAGTATGTGCTTTTTGCGTACATCATTGGGTGTCCTTTATTGTTTATTCCTTTTTTGTAGTATTACATTTATGCGTGCAGTGTGCCACCATGCCTTTTGACTTGCACATCTTTCTAGAAAACATTCGTTTCCAAAAAATGAGAAGCATGGCCGATCCTATGCACAAGCTGCTCAAACAATTGCATCGGGCCACACAATTTTGAAAAACAGAAGCCACAATTATATGTGTGTCATACATATGCTATAGTCATCTTCCTATGATATTTTTATTAAATATTATGTGTTATCATATATAGAACTATCTAATTTTAAATTGATGCCTTAAAGACACCATTAAACTCTTTCAAAGAACATTATGCATCATAGTCTCAGTTTCAGAACAACTAATACAGAACTAAACAAAAAACGGTGAACATCAAAGTAGTGAGGTAAATAAGTCTGTATTTTCTAGTTTTGTGTTCCCAATTTTTTTCACACTTTTTTCCGTTTTCTGTGAATCTGTGGTGATGTTCCAGATATGCAATCAATCTTGAAAACAAGCGTGTAGATCTATTTGAAGACCCTGTAGAAGCTTCTACTGAAGAAAATGTCTTGCTAGCTTCAGGTATGGGTACTCGACATTCTCTTTGTCAGTGTCTTGAACTGTCACCATCTGGTCATGTATGTATATTTTGGCGTGATTCCATATAATCTTTTCCTTTTACGGGCCTTGCTTTGAGTGCATTTATAATGTATAATCATGTGAATATTTACTTTATCCCTTTCTACATTTTCCTACGGCTGATTTATGAAGGTTGTATGGTTTATTAGTTCTCTCTATAGTCCACTTCACTATCAAAAAAACAAGGCACTTGAAGTATTGTTTGCTGACATATTATCTTCAAATGTACTCTCAAACTGAAGTTTAATGGCCAGTTAATAAAATTAACTAACCTCGCTTTCTATATACATATATCTAATTACAAGCTTAATAATGCATCTTTGACTACTCAACAGCTAATAGATCATGGGAATCAAATGATGGACGAGACAGATCAGGCCATAGATAGAGCACAAAAGGTTCTCATTCAATTCTGTCATTAACAAACAAAATTAGTGTAAAGTTTGTCTCTCCGGTCACTACTACTAAGATAGTCCTCTTGGGGATTTGTAAATGAGCACATTGGGTTGCAGATAATTGATTTTTTTCAATTGTAATTGCTTGGCTGTTAGGAATTTAAGACAACTCTTCTATTGATAAAAAAAATTAATTCTGCCGCCCAAAGCGAGTCATGTTTCAAACTTTCAACACTCCCCCCTCCTAAAAAAAGAAATATATTTCAAACCAAGAAGCCAATTTGATTGAATTTAATGTACTCTTTCCAAAAGAAAGTGTTCCACACTAGTTAAGTATGCCAGGTTTAGTTCACAAAGAAAAGTATTTATATTATAAGTATGATTTATAATTTGCAAGAGTTGTACCTCACACCAATGTTAAAACTTACACAAATATAATTCTCCTTTATTGGACACAAGTAGTTCACCCCTCCTTTATCAAATGTTATTTTAATGACTTGTGTCTTTTGAGTTGATTTTTAGTCTTTCTAAAGCATGATTGTCCACATGAAATGTTGTTATAGGTGGTCCAGGAGACCATTAATGTTGGAACAGAAACTGCGGCAACACTCAAGGAGCAGGTGAGTTTTTACATTTCTGAAAAGGAGATTGTGTCTATTAAAAAGGTAATGTCTTAGATGAATTGTATGTCTCCTTTCTCTAACCTATTTCTTGTACCCAGACAGAACAAATGAGTAGGATTGTTAATGAGCTGGACACGATTCACTTCTCTATGAAGAAGGCTTCCAAGCTTGTCAAGGAACTTGGTAGGCAGGTCAATGTCTCAAACTTTTAGATGATCATGTAGTGTTGTGTGTGTGTAAAATCCTGCTTAGATGCTCGACATCAGGGGCCTTACTATATCCAGGACCACATTGGGAATACTCCATTTAAATCCCATCGATTTTTGAGCTGAAATTTGGTATGGATAAACTAGACTTGATGAGAAACATGCTCAAAAAATTTCATCAAAACATTCCACCGGGAACCACCCAAATGGCAGTGTTCGAACGGCGTTCGGACAGAAAGCTGCTGGACCTGAGAATTTCTCTCTCTCTCTCTCAATATATATATATATATATATATATATATATATATATATATATATATATATATATATATATATATATTACTTTCAGACTATAAATTGTTTTGTATAAAAGTACATTGTGGATCGAGATATAACATCTTTGATACGAAAAATCAAAGCTGGCAAACCCTATAAGAGATGGGAGTACTTACATGCAAGCATGCATAAACACATACAAGCATACATAGATACATACATACATGCATGCACACATGCATGTGTATATTCTCTTTCTGTTCTCTTATGCTGACTTGAACTATTTCAATTAGGTTGCAACTGACCGTTGTATTATGGCAATGCTTTCCATGATTGTGCTGGGGGTCATCGCAATAATTATTGTGAAGGTAGGTTGTTGTTTTCCTCTTTTATCTTTTATTGAATACTTTTTAAGTTGTTACAAAAAGAATACTTTTCTTTCCATATTGAATTCTTCTAGTACGCTTTGTTTCTCTATAATTTAGGGCTCCATAAGGAGATTATTATTGGTTAAAAGTGTCATACGCGTAAAGGCATTTGTATACATTTTAGGCATCTTATAATCAAGAGGGTTTACCACCCCATATGTTATGCCCTACATTCAGTTTACTTTATTTTCTTTTTAATTTTGCATTCAATGATCTTTGGAGCGAGAAATCGAACACATAAGAAAATAGTCTTAGCATATACTCCAGGATGCAAACTGATCACATATTCTTGCCTAAAATTTAATAATACTTGTGTTATGCGTGGACGTACGCCTGTACTCCTACTTCCATTTCCATTAGCTTTGGCAAGAATAGCCTATAGTTAGAAGATGTATTTAAGCGTGTGACTTAGGTGTGGGCTTAGTTCTAAAAATGTCCACCAAGAAGACTTTAAAGCTTTCATGGTTGTCTATGTTTTCTCTCTGAATTAACCCTGCCTAAATGTCTAGTTTTATATATTGCCGTCTTAATCAAGTCTTAACTCTTAAGCTATAAATACGACCTGGACCCCATCCGGCAATCCTTATGGCACGTGGCGCTTTTTAAAACATTGCGTATAATGTATTATGCCTCCTATATACTCCATACATATTACGTAGTACGTAGTACTATTTATTTGCCTGTGCTGGCCAATTAGAACTTCTTGACTGTTTAGGAATCCATATATGGCTTGTTGAAAACACAATAGTATATTCTTTTAGGGGTTGTTAACTTTTAAGTTAATGGGGTTAACGAGATAAGTTTTGTAACCCGTTCAGCCCTTAAGTAGTGTTTACATCTAATTGGAAACACCAAACCATTTGTTTTACTTGAGGAAACTGTGATAGTATAGATGTTTGTTAATATGTGATATTATAGTTACTGACAAGACAACACAAAAATGACCTTAATATAAACCAATTGAAATTGTTTAATCAGCACACAAAGTATATAGCCACTATACAAACACCACATAATCTAGACTACCATTTAATGAAAAAATATTAACTACTTAATGTTGTCTCTACTATTGTCTTTTGTTTCCAACTAAACAGAGTTTTGAAATTTTTATCAGTTCTCATTTTTCCAGATGGTTAACCCCAATAACAAAGACATTCGAGACATTCCGGGGTTAGCTCCTCCCATTCCCAATAGAAGATTACTTTGGCATCATAATTGAAGCGGGCATCAAATTGTTACTTGAGTATATGTTGATGTTTGGCATTTCAAGTTTACTTTATCTTTTGACATTGTTCAATGTTCCATGCTCCTGCCCTTGATGTCCTAACTCTTAACAAAGGCTAGACGGAGAAGTCTACAAAAACATAGGTTTAATGGCCAAACCTCCCTGTGATATATAAATTTGGCGCATTAACCCGTGTGATTTAAAAATGCGTCAAACTCTCGTATTATAATTATTCATGCACACAACCCCCTGTAGACAAATTTAACTTTCAAATAAATGGAAAATGATTACTCCGTATTATTTTTTGCATGATTTAGAGATTTTGACAAATTTACTTGCATATTCAATCATAATATTAAGACACATGATTTCCAAATTGTTAAACTATTCTTAGATGGAAATCTGTGCATGAATACTTACAACATATGGGAGTTTGACACAATTTTTAGATCATATGGGCTAATGTGCTAAATTTATATATTACAAGAGAGTTTTGTGCATTAAACCCACCAAAACATGTCTTTGATCTTCTACTTTAACTTACCGATGATACAATATTATTGTAGCTATTGTCATCCCTAATTCTCTATAGAGCATTTCATATCATATGCCAATGTAGGTTTGAATTTGTGGTGCATATGATAAGAAACATATGTATCCTTATGCTGATAGACATCAGCGTTCTATGAATGTACAACCAGATCACGTTAATCTTGTATCGATATTCATCTATTTTAGTTTTAAAATTTTAATGCTAAAGATTATCATGTGCATTCTTTCTAGCATTCTTGTACTTAGCATTAAAGAAAATGGATTTTGTATTAAATGAATAAACACATGAGTCATTCTAAGAGACAAGATTCCTTAGCATTTAAAAATTAGCAACTTTATAGTGGTCTAAGAGCATCCTCAATGCTACATCCTTAACATTGAATAACTTTTCACAGAGTAGTCATCCATCTCTTATTGGAGTTACATTACATAGGAGGACATTGAAACCCAAAAAGCATGCCCGATATAATTATACAATCAACAAATGTTCCACATTAACAAGATTGTATGTTACTTTTAATAGACAATTTTCGAACTCTGTTTGAAACATTTTGTCAATGCCTGATCAGATCATGGCAGAGTTTGTATTTCTTATGAAAATACAATTTCTTAAAGGGAGATTTCCCAAAGTAAGAGTAAATGGAGTTTGGAATTCCAAAATAGGACTACCATGTTTTTATTCCTGAAATAGGATTAACATGGCACTCTTCACTATCATCTTGTAGGCGTGACTGCCAAATAGTTACAGTACAGTGCATTTAACATGACAATATTAATTGTAATTAATGACAATATTTTTCAATTATGGCTGCATTTTTTATACATGGCAGTAATCACTCCTATTTTGGGAAGAAAAACATAATAGTCTTATTTTGGAATTTCAAACCTCATTTACTCCTATTTTGGGTAATTTCCCTTTCTTAAATGAACCCAAATTCTCATCCAACTTTAATTTGTGTATCTTTTATCTATAGAAAAGTACATGATTTATTTGTCCCGTTCCTACTATATTCAAGTAAAATATTTTAAACCCCTTCAAAGTTTTTGGGTATTTAATAAAGCATTTGAAATTCTAAAAATGTCAATGTATTCATATCATTATTATACACTGAATATTGGATTCTACTCCGTATTATCAAATATTCACATTGGATTCATCAATACATTAAGCGAAATTCTAAAGGTACTCCATTTGGGGTACCCCATTTTTACCCCATAATGTGTGACCACAAATGAGGCAACACATTTAAGTGGGGCAACACTGTAAAGTCTAGAATCCAGCTCAGGTCTCAACCAATTTCATCCACAAAGGATGAATTTCCACCACTATGATCACAAGGTAAAGTTGTGGGCAACAACCGACTAGCTATTCCCGACCAAATCGTCCGGCGAACCCACAGAGAAGAAGCACCAATTCGAATTTGGAGAATAGGGTTATTCGCTCTACCCAACGCAGCGGAAGACGAGCGAAATATATAGGCCAAGGAGAAAGCTGTAGAAGGTAACTTACCTTACACAGAGATGCTCCCAAAAAATCGCACCAGGAAGAAGCTATCGCACAGTTCAGGGAAGGCAAGAATCAATTCGTACCAAGAGAGTCGATCGGCAAAAGGATTAAGGGCCAAGAGACAGCCGATCGGTAAAACTGATTATGGGCTGGGTACATACAAAATGGGTTGGGCTTAGGGAATAGAGGGCCAATACCAACAAACACTTTTATGTGTTGCCTCATTTGGACCACACAATGTGTGGGGTAAAAATGGGGCACACCAAAATGGGGTACCTATAACGTTAATCATACATTAAAGATTTAAAGGTCACCTAGGAGGCTAGGAGTTTAAGTTGCTTCTATGTTAAAAGTGATTTTTGAGAAAATGCTTAATAATTATTGGTAGTGTTTAAAAAAAGTAAAAATTAGTAGTGTTTAGTAAAGAAATATTTGTTTGTATAATAGAAAAAATGAAAAGGAGTTAAAAGTACATCTTTAAGTGCTTAATTTAATTAGAGACGAGCACTTGAAAACACTTATTTCATCTTTTTTATGACAAAACATGTAAGACACTTTTCAGGTTTTTGCTGACCATGCTCGAAGGTCTGCTCGGGCTTCTCGCATCATTGCGAGTCAAGAGTACGTAGCCGCCTTGTGCGGATCCAAGATCTTTCGGTGCATCAAGACATCAAACTCGTTTTTGGATTCTCCGATGGAACATCTTGAGACACAGTAGAAAAAGTTGGCGGTTGAAGGAGAGGAGAAAGACCTTATTTTCGAGGCAAAAGGCGACAACACAAAGGGACATGGCCTTATGTGAGCTTTCTGGGGTCGACTTCCTAGTTACCGAAAATGGTAAATTTTCATATTTGTAGAGAGGTAATGGCTACGATTTGGCGACAAATTAGAGGAGGTTCGATTAAAGAAATTGATGATGGAAAGTATGTCTTTACCTTTTACCATATATTGACATGAATCGTATGATTTGAAAACAGCCTGCCTACGTGTTTGATTTTTTTTCATCTTTGAGCTACAATTTCAATTCGCTCTTGGTTGTGGAGTGGTCCTTAAACTCGAGTTCTTATTTAATTGTTGCTTTTATTTTTTTATATTTAGACATTGCTTTGTTTGGTTTGGTTTTCTCTTGTTTGCACTAATACGTTGCATACCAGAGTGGGTGATGACAAGTCCGTTGGAAAAATGTGTTAATTAAAAATCGCATTAAATGGTCATTCTGGGGCAATTATTTGAGTGGGGTCCACTTCCGATTTGGGTCGGGTCAAAGTGGTTTCGGATTGTCCTTGTTAAGGGCTACAATTCGATATATGGTACGCTCAAAACGGATAACGGGTGAATGAGAAATTGATTCTCGAAGTTCACTCGTTGCAATGGAAAAACTAGGAAAATGATGGGTTTCTAGTGTGTTTTATATCACACCGGAAAACTCAAGGGATTTTCACCCCCTTATAAAGGGAAGTCTCTTTTAAGGAGTTAAGATTCCTTCAGGTAGAGGCTCTCTCTCGCGCGCAAGGGGGGTGCCGATCAAATCCCGAAATGGAGAAGAAAAACTGTGACTCGTGTGCGCGAGCGACCTGCGGACACGAATGTCATCCGAAAAATCTATCATTCAATGATACGATTTAATTTTTGTTTCTTCCCGTAAACGTTCCTTATTTTTTTCCAAGCTGGGAGTTCTGTTCGCAACAGAGGTGCTCGCCTTCTGTCCGCAAAAAAGATGCTCGCCTTGTGTCCGCAACAGAGGTGCTGGCTTTCTGTCCGCAACAGAGGTGCTCGCCTTCTATCCGCAACAGAGGTGCTCGCCTTCTGTCCGCAACAGAGGTGATCGAGTTCTGGTCACACCGTAACTGCTCCTCTTCTGTTCGCACCAGAAGAACTCTGGTCGCACCAGAAATGCTCCAGACATTACAACCATTAAATGCCCAACGTTCTTATCTTTTAATGCTACGTTAAATGGACAGTTAATGGACGATTCAATGCCCAACGGACTGGTCATTGATGTCCAACGTTCAGGTCCATTAACACTCCATTTAACACACAACAAATTCTCCTATAAATATCTGGCAGGTGTTTTGCAACAAACACACGGTTTTACACGTTCACAAGCAATCATACACGTATTTTAGCTCTCAAAAACACCTTCAGCTCTCTGAAAATTTCCTGAGTGTTCAATCCTTGTTCCCGTTCGTCGGAACTCTCGTTTGTGTGCTCAAACGTTAGTTCGTTAGCCACCGTATCCTGGGAAACGGTCGTTGCAACGCTCCTTCCACCGTGGGAGGCGACGAATACATTTTAAGGACATCGTGCGTAGCACGAGCTCTGGCTAAACTCTGTCCCATCTTTTTTTCTGTTTTTCTTTGGCTATTTGATTAATTAATTAATTATTTTTATTAATTAATATTTCTTCGTTTTTCCGATCACGCCCAACAAAGTCAAATTCGATCACTTTTGGATCAGTCCAATTTAGCATCAAGTAGTTATATTGCTTCTTGGAAGGTAATTAACTCTAAATCTAGTTCGAGTACTGATTATCGATATGTGACTTTTGTCTTAATGTAACTCACATGAATTATGATATTTTATTATAGGGAAGTGTAAAGAATAGGTATCTATGGTTGAGCGTGTATTTAGATAGGAGCCTATGTTTCGTTTCTTATCAAAGTAGTTTCTTTTTTGATTTTGTGATCACTAGACGGTCTAGTGCATATCACCGTTAGATATCATCAAAGAAACACAATGAACAATAACTTCGAGTTTCAAAATGCCTATAAATTTAAATGAAAAATATTGCGAGGTGTGTACCTTGTCAAGATAACCACCCAACCATTTATTTCAGCCACACTTGTCGCTGGAAAATGTAACGAAAATTGATATTATTGAATTCTTTTTTTAAAATTATCAAAAGGAACCGAAAGATCCAAAAAGGAAGATGGTTTGGGGCCGTCTTTGACATTTTTAGTGGTGTTAGGCGTTGGACACTCGGACCCCTTCAATTATAATGAAATAAAAATACAAAATACTTTTTTGTGGCATTATTTTTTGGGTAAGAAATACTACCCGTCCCCCTAATATTGGGACGGAAGTGAGTAATGTGTTTTACAAAAAGTAGAATTATGTAGTTGATAATGAGTTAAATAAAGTAGAAATAAAGTAAGAATGAATTAGAACCACACAATTGTTATCAAATATGGTATGAGACAATAATTAGGATGTTTTACTTGGACTGTAATTTGTTGATCTGGTCTGGTCTGGTCCGATCTGAACTGGTCTGATTTCTTTGTATTTTAATAACTATCCAAGTCTGATCTAGTCTAAACTAGTCTGGTTTGATCTGATCTGAAAGAATTTACAATTCAAATAAAAATATCCTTAGAGCACGTCCAAAAATGAAAAGATGAGAATTGTAGAGAGACGGGTGGAGTAAAACACAATATTCTTAGAGCACATCCAAAAATGAAAATGGACCCGGTCGGCCGTGGGAGAATTTTTTTTCTGCACTTTTTTCCCATTTACCCGCAAAAAAAGTTTTCGCAAACCCAAATAAATAAAGTGGCGTTAGGCGAACCCTCCCTTATAAAGTTTTCGCAAACCCTCCATTGTAAAGTGATAAAAGGAAATCCCATATCAGGTTTCCCAGGTTTGGCGTACCGAAGAACT